GGCACTGACCGTGGAACATCGCACAATCACCGCGGCGCGAATATTGATTAAAAACTCGCGTGAGCCACTATTTACTCATATTCTTCTTTTACAGTTTGACATATTATTCATCTGGCGCTTGCATACGTGATAGAATTCACCGTGACGTTCGTGTTTGCAAAATTAATACTCATTCGCCACCGTCATAATAATGCACGTTTCGTGTGTCACACGGGGGAGCAAAACGACGTATTTGACCAATCACGCAAACACAACACGGATTTCCTAGCCATAGATAGCATACACTGGGATATATAATATATATATATACACAGCATGTTCTGCTAGCATCTATGACAAATATGACATACGCATAATATACGCTCTCATATGACACTATTTGCCATAGGAAGATTCTTCCTATATGACAAATATTGTTGTATGTGAATCTGTATAGCATATATATAAAGCGAGATGTATGCGAGGTATAGAACCTGCTATTACAAATATTTCCTTAAGCATCATGCGTATAGACATAGCAAAAGGAGGCAGATGTGTACCTTATTTATAATAAGCACCTTATTATAATAAGTGCGAACGTGTACGAAGCTACTGAACAGCCGCTAGCCGTGAACCCCCCACCCCACCCCACCCCACTCCCACCCCACCCAACCCAACCACCCACCCCACCTGCGCCGCCAACCTACAGTTCAAATCATCGTCGTGTTAATGTAGGCTACGTTGCAGAAATACTTTACTATGTGAACAGATACATACGTTAAATGTTATATATAAATGTTATCAGAAAACTCGAGTTTACTTAACTGGCGAAACTTGGCAAACATAAATTGCCTAATGTTTTCATTAAAAGGTACAGCGTGGTAACGATGGGATGCCCACAAGTTCCGGCCAAGATAATTCGCGATACGGATTTATTAACTGCTACTATATTGATATATAGCACAGCGCAACATATTGATTTTTGTGTAATCAAAACAAACAAATGCGATAAAATGTAATTAATCTCGTCCGTAAATTAATATAATTCTACTGTAAAAATGACGCCGAAACTGAATGTTCAAGGTTCGTGAAATTCCCTGTCCACGAAACGTGATAAATGACGCATCACTAGCCGTCGCATACTTACAGAGTTAAATTATTTTGATCGGCTAATAATTTTGTTTTGCTGTATAAGTTATCATTTATGTCATTAGGGTAAAATTGTGCAGATTTGCCGACATTTGGCAGATACCACGAGGGCCGACAGAATATATCAAGGCATCTGCGTGCGAAGGTCTATAGCACGCGTTTTTCAGATAGATTTTTCATGTTTTAGATACGATATCTAATGAATGAAAACGTTAAGAACAGGACCGTATAGCGCCATGACGAGCCTGTGTTGGAAGGAGACGACAAGAAATATGTTGTCACCTTTAGGAGCTGTTTTTTTAGACTAAAATTAGACATCCAAGCATTCATGTATTCTAACAACCTTAATTAATAATAAAAGTTCGACTGTTATTAAAAGTAAACCAAATGTGTATTGCATGCATGTTTATCAAGATAATTGTGTTTCTGCCCAATAGCTTTCTTTCAATTTCTGCATCCACCTTTTACGAAGGGGTAGTCGGATTTACTAAAGCATATTATTTGCGTGTTTTAAACAATATAATAACAAAATAATAAATAAAAGTACAGGAGATATCCTACAAGAAGGGGAGCGAGATGCCTGTGCCGCTCCAGCATTTTTTTTTTAGCTGAATGCATCGTATAGGGGATATGGGGGCCTACTGCCATACATATCATACTATTAAGACCCTATTAAATTTGCTATCTGCGCAAAGGAGGTCAAATTTGCATAGTAAATTGCGCCTGGAATTTATTTTTGGAGTGAATGAATGGAATTGAATTAAATGAATTGGAATGAATTTGGAATGAAAATTAATTTGAAATAAAAATAAATTAAAAATAAATAATAAAAATATCCGTAGCCATCTCGGCCACCATACTGAAGTGTTTTCAGTATTTATGGGCTGAATTAAAACATAAATATAAAAATACATATACTGAGATGATGATCGTGCATAATAAAACGAAATTTTACAGGAACGCGTTTTTGTTCTTTAATTTCTACACGATCATGTATATAATAAAATGAACACAATAGCGGTTTATTGGCGCTAACGCCAGCGATGCTTTCAAAAACATGCTACGCGAGCAGATATTCCACCAGCAATCAGCAGATATCCAGCAATATTCCACCATCCAATAACCAGAATATGAGATGAGTTCAAAGGCAAAATTCTGACTGGTGAAGGAGGAGAAAGTACGGTAACTTGCCATAACAATGCATCGAAATGCTAATTATGCTAATAATGCATATACGAAATTGTACGTCATTGTATTAATTACAGTCTCAGCGTGTAGTCATGATTGTATTAGCTATGACAACGTGAACAAGAACGCGTGCATATGCACGAGCTGCCTGCCCTAGCTCCACGGCAGCTTAGAAATTGTCATGTATTACGGGACCAGGCGGACCGGACAATTTCATCCAAATTTCAGACAAATTCAATCGCAACCGCTCAGTATATGCAGCTAGCTAGTATACAGAAAGATAGATAGATAGATAGATAGATAGATAGATAGATAGATAGATAGATAGATAGATAGATAGCTAGAGAGAAAGACTGAGAGAGAGGGGGATGGAGAGATTGTAAAGAGAGGAGATCCCCGGGGTAGTACAACTTGATATATGTCCCCCGGACTAGCGCGGTATTTCTCCGTGAATGTGGTCTTTACACCCCACCTGTGCTGATATTTCAGAACCAGCAGATTCATAAAGTTCGAACCCCAGGTCAAACACCCCGAGAGATGGCGCTCTCACTCTCGCTCACTTCACGTGCGTTCACGCTCACGCTCACGTTCACGCTCACGCTCACGCTCACGCTCACGTTCACGCTCACGCTCACGCTCACGTTCACGCTCACGCTCACGCTCACGTTCACGCTCACGCTCACTTCACTCATCCTGAGTGTACGAAGGGGCACTGCATGCAGTCGGCATGCAGTTTGGCCCCAGGTACGCATGATGGGACGAATCCAATAATTGCTGAAAAGAGGGAGAAGTGTGGCGGGGAAGGCCATAGTTCAGAGAATGTGGAAGGGGCGAGGGCCATGACACACTTACAAAGAGAATAATTCAGCAATTGTCATTTTAATCGGAGTATGTATTAAAATGGAAACGTAGGCGGCGTAGCTACATACGGCAAAATTCGCACTCTATTTAGGCAAACCTTTTATGTATTTGTTCGGTGATACGAACGCAAAATTCCGACGGATAAATTTGTATAACACACTTTTAACAACTTCTGGCATCGAAAGTTTTCAGACACATGGCTTTATTTCGAGCATACCGGTTACCTTAGATGTTGATACTCGGAGTTCAGGTACTCTAGAACGCTTAATCTAACTTACCGTGATTCTACCCATAATCCTGGTTACTTTTTTCTGGGTTGCTGGTAAAACTGTTATCTAATTACAGAGTGATAGTACCAGTGCCGAGGTATTATAAATTTGTATCTACGTACATCGGAATGACACCGTCCTAAATAATCCAGTATTTTAATGCCCTAGTATGATCAATGTATAATATATATATATATGTAACGATATTTGACCTACTTTGCAGTGTGTTAGTGGAAGAATAATTCATAGAAGCATATCGGCAAAAGAAATAAGAACAAATAACGAAAACAGCATTGTTTCTTCTTTTAACGCTATTATTACTCCAGAAAAATGTACAAGAAAATACATCTTAACAAAGATAGTTCAGTCTATACACTATGTACATGTACACAGATGTGTGATTGACCAACTGCAGATGCAATAGTTCGTTAGGAAAACACATGATGACAGCGATGCACCTTTAGTTGTACCGCTCGTCATTGCACATTGCTTTATCATTATTTCAGGCGATATTACATTTCCTTAGTATCCGCAATGCAATCCGATAGCACTGTGAGGCTAACCATGGAACCGGTAAGGACAAACATAACACAGTTGTGAAGGAATGAATCGATTGATGACACTACTTGTGACGCATTTTGCCGTCACTGCAACTCAAACCGTGATCAGCGCTAAACCAACAATTCATCGAACAAAAGTATTATTCTACAAGAGTGTAATTCTCTTGCTGGTTGTTACAGGCCATAACATATGACGATAACGTGATTAGTTTTATTGCCATAAGACTACAATATTATGGTAACAATACGCATCACACTGAGACCACACAGTGCTGACTGGTGACTGTAATACATATGAGATATCACAGAGAAGATTATCGCATGTAACGTTTTCTGTAATATCAAATATAAAGAAATTGTCGGTTGTGCGCTAGGAGACCGATCGCGATGGAGAGAGAGAATGGGGGGGGGGGCAAGATAGAGAAAGGCAGTAACAAACAGGAGGGGGAGCAAGCGAGAAAAAACGACAGAAATACAGACGCACGCACGCACACACACACGAGAGAGAGAGAGAGAGAGAGAGAGAGAGAGAGAGAGAGAGAGAGAGAGAGAGAGAGAGAGAGAGAGAGAGAGAGAGAGATGCGAAGAGACTCGAGACGCGAAGATGGAGAGTGAGGAGAGAGCAGAGAGCCAGCGACGAGAGAGAGAGAGAGAGAGAGAGAGAGAGAGAGAGATAGGGGGAGGGGGAAGTGAGCGGGATGAAAGAATGGTTGAGTGTACGAAGAATAGCTAACCACTGCAACCCGACGCAATCTCGATACACCTTGTGTACACCATGACAGCGACTGCGCATGTGACGCATAATCAATTATGCTAATACACGCTTTTATGTACAATCCTAGTACGTGGTGACGAGCGAATCCACAGTTGCATATCCATCGGTAAACATACTCGAACATAACCATACAACTATCTCCTACTCACGTTGACAAACGAAGATGAAACACAGGTTGATAGAATAAAACGACACTGTACACGAACGCTGAATAAAGAATTTTGATCAGGAATAGGATGTTTTAATGGTCACGGATGGGCTCTCAATACACGTAAAATGCAGGGGTTTCTGACTGCCACGAACACTGGTGTACGTTAGCAATCGTTCCTACTCTTTCTCGTAAATGTAATCTAACAACGAATATACATCAGCGTGAAATGAAGCCAATTTTCTTCATTAAAAATTTATATTTTCAGACCAATTAGGTGTGCGCGCATAGCTGTCGACAAACCATAATTTGGCATTCCGCTGATTTTAATAATTTTCTCAGAACATCGAGTATCATAATGGTTAGGGTCCAACGATTAATCCATCTATCAATCACCAAAAAGGAATTCCAAAATGCTTATGCGAATTGCAAACGGTATTACTAGTTAGGATTAATTTCAATTCAGTCCATTTTGGTGTCACAGTGGTTTAAAGGTCAACACTATCATTAGAAAAGTATTGCAGGACAGAACCGTCACTGAAGGAATCACAGAAAAGATCACGCTCACAGTTACCATGTTAATCGGACCAATGTCATTTTAAAATGTCAAAACATAATTGTTTACTGTGGCTGTGGGAATGAACGGATTTCACTGGCATGTTTTGTAAACCAACTCATAATAAAATTACAATCCATTCGAACAATTACCTTTAAAATAGTAAAAGGCGTGAAATCAAAATGATAGCTTAATAAGGTGAAATGGTTTCCGACTCATTACACTTGTGATATGTATACAAGTAAATAGCAAATGGATTCACAAGATTACCCTCGCTATGACAACATGAAGATATCAACACAGTCAATGCATGGCGATGGCTACTATTACTAATAACCCCATACTCCCACTGTAATGCAACATCGGCAGCCTCAATTAGAAATATAACCAATTATAACCAGTAATTATTGACAAGCGTTTCGTTTGAGATGAAGATGCAGATAAAATTAGTTGAGACAATCATAGATGAGACAATCGTTCCATGAACTGTACAATGAGACAATCGCCTAGTAAGACAACTGTCCAATAAGACAATCATCCAGTGAGACAACCATCCAATGAGACAATGACCCAGCGATACAATCGTCATGAGACAGGGCTTCCAAACAATAGTGTGAATAACGTGTTTTATTGCAGAAATGTCCTCGAACAATAGTTGGTGAACTCTTATGTTCAGCAGTTCAAACATTGTCATTTACATTCAAGATGTGCATGCACATCTCTCATGACTATGCATATACGCAGACAATTACATATCGGCCATCAACAAAATGGGCGCACGCACGCACGTGTACACACGCAATCGCATCATCACCAATGTATGCCTGCTGCTACATTATGTACATATTTACGTATAGAGGCTATGGTTAGTACTTAGTACATTTGTAAGGTATCATAACTCGGTTTTCACTAAGATTTTTACCCAATACTGGCCTGGGGTGACGATACTCGCACACACACCGGTGGGTTGCTGCACAATTACACTTCTGCATATAGCACAAAATATTGTAAAACTTCATCATCCAGAGTGCAATCTCCCTCCAATGGTTTACATGAAGTGTTATCATCTCTAGTTTACATGTATGTACATGGCATCGACTTCTCCCGCTGACTGTGGCACGTAACGGACAAAATCTTACAATTTCACTCGCTCGGGTAAATCGTGAGGCAGAACCTCCCAGGAAGTAGGAGAAAGTTGAGAGTGATCTCCTTATCCCCCTAATAGCAAACACTCATGTCAAAACCACACACAGTTGGCAATTATAAGAATATATCTGTCTCCGGAGTTGAATCGTCAGCTAGGAACCGACACACATCGATAGCGAAGACCGTCCCAGTAGTACTAGTAGACTCTGTAGTGTCAGCAGCACGCTTGCCGAAGATCCCGTCTCTAAATCCTGGCCGAATGCGAGAAAACTCTCACAGTCGCTTGCTTTCAATAACGGAGATCGACGAGCGTGGCACCGGCGGCTTTCACACGCAGGCTTTCCATGATCCTCCTTTTCATGATCGTTCTCGCTCTCGCACGTCTGGCCACAGACAGCGGAAGCCATTGCCTGACAACAGCGATGCCCACGTTCAGACAACGATTACCGGCTCACGTGTTTCCCACTGAACGGAGAAGAAACGGCCGACGACAACCGCCACTGCCGCAGCGTCTGCGGGCAACGTACAAACACCGGGTCTCGCCGCGAACGGGAAAAAAATTGGCGGCGGATCTTCGCACGACTGTCTGGTGTTTCACTGTACAACAACGACGACGAAGAACGATTCGCGCATCGACAGGTGGCGCCACTCGCCTACGTGCTGTCGCGCTTGTTCACTCGGTCAGACTTGCGCGACGAGGCGCGGCTCTCACGGCACCGCTGGCAAATGTACACGTCGGGAATGTTCGACTTGCGAATTTTCGCGCACGACAAGTGAATCCATATCAAGCACTCCGAACACTCGATCATCGGTCGGCCGCCAAACGGCTTCATGCAGAAGCAGGTCACCACGTCCCAGGAGTCCTCGTCTGCAAAGCACAGAAAAATCGGCGGGGTCACGACCGACATAAAACCAATCACAGGCGACGCGCGCGCTGGCTTTCGCAAACCCTGTGTCAATACGCGCACATTATCTACACACACACACACACACACACACACACACTCCACGTGCCGCGGACAAATCGGTGCAAGACCACGAAGGGAAACACGTTGGACTTTGATCCTTATCGAATACACAGCGCGACTTAAACCGACTGGCAGCTCGTAGGCTGGTAACGCCCTGGACAAGTTTGAGCGCTACTAGTTGACCATGTCGTCGACGATATCTGAGCACGTGTTAGCAGTGAGAAGTGTGTGCCGCGTGGCACCGTTAAATCAGGTGTTACTTATCTTGTGTTGCGACTTGCAAGTGACTGTGTCAGACAGGTAGGTGTCAACTGTACACAAGTGCGTTCATACGGCACAGTCGACTTTCAATAATGACACACATTAATATTTACAGCTGTATGTTTGGCACAACTTTGGTCCACCACCATTCTGACAACAGCCTTGGGCAGATGCAAACATGATCAGTAGATGACTTATGGCGTAATACTGCATTCCCGACACGTACTTCAGCAACCAATTTTTTTGCTAATCGTGACCCACCTAACTGACATTAAAAATACATGATGTTGATGTATGCTAAATTACCACCAATGAAGAATGCATTGTGTTTACGATGAAGCCCTCCGCCCACTGAGACATGTTCATCGATTCACTGATCGCATATAAAAGTGATGTGAAGAGTTTTATAATATTACAGCCACTGAGCACCATGACACAATAAACCTGGCATGGCTTGATAGTGCCAAAACCAGTGACTAAAGCTATAGTACACAATCTATTATCCGAAATTCTGAAAACCGAAAACCTCCGAAGACCGAAAGTTTTTTCGTGGAGGTCACCTGCACACCAAAGACCACACCACTCGACTTGACCAAATATTAAAATGTGTTTGGCATTACTCATACATATTGTACTGTACCGGTACAGCACTTGGCCTCTTGAAAAGTTGGGAGTTTTAGTACTGGCTAGTTGCAGGATATACGGCATGTATATCTGTACTATACTACCATTCCGAAATCCGAAAAATTCCGAATTCAGAAACGTGTCTGGTCCCAAGGGTTTCGGATAATAGATTGTGTACTGTACTATTACCACTACCACTATTGTTTCTATCACAATAATGATGATGACGCTAACAACGACGACAACAACAACAAAAACAATGACAAAAACGATGACGACGGACAACAAGAGCCACCGCTATTCTTATACTCCAAATCCTGTTTACATCTATGTTCTATTCACTCATATTAATCAACTATGATATTCTTGCAAGCACCCTGCAGAGATCAGCATGGGCTTATCATGGATCTGTGCGCATGTATGTATATCTTTTAATAGCCGAAGAAGCGATCCTGATTTTAGAGACTTAAGAGTGCTCTGCATTTTTTACTTACTCTTCATTGGCTAGCAAGCTAAAAAAAATATTAGCCAAACAAACACCGATTTTCCTGATCGCATATACTAGTAATATCTAATATACGAACACTAACCTAAATACAAGATTGTCCAACTGCTTGTTAGATTAGGATTAGGTGATATTTATACAGTTCACTTATGATTATTGTCGACGTGCTGCAGTGCTACTTCAATGTTAATGTGTTTTTTTTACTCACTTCTTTGACTGCCCTAAAATTAGCTTTATTGGTATTGCAACAGGTACAGTGCAGCAGTAGTGCCGCACCTCATGTACTGTATGGTGCAAGTAATAACACTACACGTGACATGCAGAGTAAATCAAACTAAACCAATCTAGCGAACAACAGAAACAAACCATGTCTGTCGCAAGTACTGAACGATAACAGATGTGGCGTCCCACTGTGAGGCAAACATGTGGTGATGCTACGGTGGTGATGCCACGGTGGTGATGCCACGGTGGTGATGCCACGGTGGTGATGCCACGGTGGTGATGCTACGGTTATGATTCTACGGTGGTGATGCTACGGTGTTGATGCTACGGTGATGATTCTACGGTGGTGATGCTACGGTGTTGATGCTACGGTGGTGATGCTACGGTGGTGATGCTACGGTGGTGATGCTACGGTGGTGATGCTACGGTGGTGATGCTACAGTGGTGATGCCTGCTACGGTGGTGATGCCACAGTGGTGATACTACAGTGGTAATGCCTGCTACGGTGGTGATGCCACAGTGGTGATACTACAGTGGTAATGCCTGCTACGGTGGTGATGCCACAGTGGTGATACTACAGTGGTAATGCCTGCTACGGTGGTGATGCCACAGTGGTGATACTACAGTGGTAATGCCTGCTACGGTGGTGATGCTACGGTGGTGATGCTACGGTGGTGATGCTACGGTGGTGATGCTACGGTGGTGATGCTACGGTGGTGATGCCGCAGTGCTGATGCCACAGTGGTGGTGGTAAGCGTAAATGGTAAGTGTGAACACCGACAGCGAGGGACTGAAACCGCGACCGTGCGACACGCGCGTGCCGCAATACATACAGTAATCGGCTCCCGTCTCCAGATCGCTCGCGTTCTTGCGGTCCGGCGTCAGGCCATTGCTGCGCGGCGTCGTCCCGCTGTTCGGTCCCTCGGATAGGACGCTCTCTGTGCCGCTGTTGCTCCCCGTGCTGTCCAGTGGACTGCTGTTCTTCAACCGGAGCTCCTGCAAGAGATGAACATGAAACGACGCGTCAGAAACGACCGCACTGCCGCAGACAAACACGCGAGCCGACAAGCTCGGCGGCTAAAAACGCGCAGCGGCAATTGTACAAGACACGAGATAAAAAAATCGAGAGCTAATACCGTTGTAGCCGTGGAATGATAAGGTACCGTCGATAAAATCGTCGACATATACTTTCGAGAAGCCTAAAAAATCAATGTTGCGCAGCATCGGACATCGATTTTTACATTTATAGTGAATATTTGGAATATTTCCCCGCTTATTTTTGTTTATTTTCTACACTAAACACATGGTTTATTATACTTGATATCACAGTCACTGTCTATGTTGACCCTGATCTAGATCGAGCCAACAAATTGTTACTGAAAGCTAAGCCAATTTATACCTAATATGCCTGATATGATTTAAAGGATTTATTAATTCAGTGATAATTTGATGTGATATTAACGGCTTTCTATGCATGGATGATAACCTAAAGCAATCACAAACTTGTTAGATAACCACGGACACATGCAAGCACGCACCAACAAATCCACAACTGCAGAAGTGTGTCAGAAATCATATACGACACCTGAATTAATAATAATATAATCACAATGGTAAATACACAAATGCACAATTATAAGAGCGCCGCACACTCCCTGAACTTTTCACACTCACAGTGCACAATGAAACAAACGCCAGCGGCCCAGCGAGTGCGTAAGATTTAAATGGATTTCTGTTATTTCCCGGTCCACTGACCCACATATATACAGGTATCTGAGGTATGGACAGTGATACGGTGATTCCAATTAACCAAGCCTCAATATTGCAATAATTAAATAACTAGTTAAATACCCGATACAAAATTAAGAAAAAAATTGAGAAAAATATAACAATTAGTGCAGAATTTGCATGCTGTAAGTGTAACAGTATTCATTCTTAATAATTTCGACTTTAAAGTATATTATTAAGCTACCTTATTACATTTTGCTGTAAAATATAAATCTTCCACGTTCAAATAGAAATCCTTCATAATAAATGCATTCACATCCATGGGCAGAAAGCAACATCTAGATACAATTATAAATTTATGCAAAAAATAACTCAGTACAGTACTGTAATAAAAGTACAGCAGTTTTAGCTGCTTTGCCCTGAGTGTAATTGTGGTGGTGCAGTTTTTACATGAATTAAATAGCTTAAATCTCATTAACTTTATGCATGTTAATTAAAAGAAGTTCAATGATTTATTTGCAGCTAGCAAGTTCCTAATAATTGGGCATGTGTGAATAAAGATCTTAATTAACTTGTTTCATGTTAATGAGAATTCACAAGTACTTTGTTCCATGAATACAATGTGAATCCGTATAGATTTTTAAGATAAAAAGATGTTATATAGAACAAAGCAAGTGCTCTTGCCTCGAAATTCACAAGCTGTGCAACCTGCATTCCATATACAACCAAATCTGTTGAAGAAATATTATGGAAGCAGTGAAGCAAATAAGCTTTTAACATATTTCTACAACAGAGGCAAGCTGCCAGTACGTATACATAATGGGCACACCACATACCGTGCTAGGGTTTTGTTGCAACTACAAAATGCTTGCATCACCACTTAATAGAATACCTACCTCTTGCTTCTTCAATTCATACTGCTCATGCTCAAGGATATAATTACAAAATGTGTAAAAATCTTCGGCCGTCCGCCGTCGCTTCGGCATTGGAGACATCTGCCCATTCACCTGAAATATCACAAGTTCTTATCTATATATATATATTTTCTCACACGTCATGTACAAGATACGGTTCAAGAACCTGGAATCAGATAACCATGTGCAACAGAATATCTGACGCCGACCCCAGCTCAGTCAACGAAAGCATGTAACATTGAAGATAAGCTGTCATCGTCATTACATCAACTGATGAGATAACTCGTCAGCGGTGTGGTGCCAATGATTGTACTCTACGTTATGATGCTAGATAGTCCGTGGTAAGCGTATCCGGTAGTTTAACGCAAAAATTGACGAATGTGAAATAGTACTACCACGTTTGTGTCAAACTTGAGCTCTATTACACTCTTGATAAAACTTACAACTCGGGCTCTCAGAAAATAAAGTTTCTATTATTTTTGGCAAGAAAATCTAGTGTCAGGGTATATAATGGTAGAACCTCATAATCTGCCCTACAGAATGCAGATATGCGTTCGTAACTTTTTAATGCAAGAACGTGTAAATTTTCAAATATATTATGTCTTCTTTAAAGCAATATCAAAAGAGCAGAATATAGTAGCTTACAATACCAATGATTAATCAAGATGAATCTACACAGTGGTCAATCATACATTGAGCTATATGATAATAAATTGCCAAATGTAACAGAAATGACAAGGTTCCTGTACTATACTTAATACTGATGGGTATATTGCATGTTTCAACATAAACTAGCATAAACTAGACTGTTGCAGATTACATTCGCGAATATAATTTAGACACAAGAATCATTTATGTACTTTATTTAGCGAGAATTCGTGAACCAAAGGAATCTTGCTACGTTTACAAATTTGTGTATCGCTTGCATGTATGCATTGAACACTACATGTACAATAATTTTCATGCATCATGCCAATCTAATTAAAAAAAATTCTGATTACAGAAAGCCCAAAGTTGCTTTGATAGAAAATTATTCAACAGGATATATAACAAAGAAACACTTACCTCTTCCGACTCTTGCTTTTCAGCTTTGATGGCCTTTGGAGCTGCAAAACAGGGCAAGTGTGAACAACTCGATACATACACGCCGTGAAAAATATACGTGTATACATATATGCATATATTGTGGTGTAAGTTCTATGACAGATGTCGTCATACACATCGTCACATAATCTTAAACCATAAACCACATAAACGGCTGATTATCATGTTTCTTTTCCCCACTTTTCCTGCGAAGCAAGTTTACAGTGTATGCACTAGCACACTATTCAATTCATAACTGATAAAGCCTACCAACTCCAATTACACATACATGTTTCACACCGAAGTTCTTTGGGTACTAAACTACTACACTAAAGATCACAACTATAATTTAAGACTCGTCCGGTTGGGAGTATGATTGAGCTGACATTAAGCCGACCATCATTCTATATAGATACATGGTGTTCATTACTGTACTAACAGTTAATGGTCGTCACCTACCTTTACAAGATTGGTACACATTAACCTTAAAGCCGCACAATGCGCATCCAAACGCTAATTTCTCCAGTACTAGACTAGCAAATACTTCGTGTCATGCATAATCACACTACCTTATGACAAAATAAACTCTAGTTCCTCCCATTTGACTGCGCGTTCCCAACAAGAAAGAGGTGCGAAATCAGGTAATCAGGCGCCAACGCTAAATTGTTTCAAACAACATAACATCGAAGTGGTGACGTGACGTCACATGTTTTTATCTTTGCTGCGCCCGTACCGCTGTACCGCGGCACCTCTGCACGGTTGCTTGGAGATTGGGGAAACTGTACACAACATCGAAGAATTTCAACAACATTGGAGGTATTTTCAAAATACCTTTTATAAGACAACGCGCAGTGAAATGGGAGGAACTAGAGTTTATTTTGCCATAAGGTAGTATGATTATGCATGACACGAAGTATTTGCTAGTCTAGTACTGGAGAAATTAGCGTTTGGATGCGCATTGTGCGGCTTTAAAAGAATAATAGGTCCATTGATTATGCAATGTTGACAAATGCTAGAGTAACTGGCACCTTGTGTAGTTAATAAGTACATTACCTTATAGCCAAACGCGTATTAGTTTGTCCAATATCACTGCTGGTTACATTACAAACAAGACTTGAAATCGGTTGTTGATATGTATCAACGTATCATTTACGTGCCGTAAATGTCATCCAGGAGTCAAGCGATGACGTAAACATTTGTGTAGCCCGTATGTTTTGGACGTCATATGAAACGGAGGTGTCAGCGGTGTAACCACGGCCACGGACTAAACATGGAAATAGATTAAAACACACGTACTAATCACGGACGCACGTGGACAGCCCTGACAAAAAGTTTCTTCTCACGAGCGTCCATGTTTACGAAATCACTGATGATAGCATTGCGTACGGCCGAGCACGCGTGCGAAAATGTCCGGTGCACTATAAATCTGTATCACACCCGCTTCGCCGGCAGCAGTTTGAAACTGTAAATAACTGATTTTTGGACTGCGGATTTCAATTAGACATTTCTTAGTAACCAGCAGTGATATTGGACAAACTAATATGCGTTTGGCTACAAGGTAATGTACTTATTAACTACACATGGTGCCAGTTACTCTAGCATTCGTCAACATTGCATAATCAATGGACCTATTATTCCTTTAACATTACCAGACACGTATTTTTGTATAGAATATGTGAAAAATTGACAATCTGGATCACATGGATTTCTGTACCATGGTGTACATGTATGTTTTAGGTATTGCACAATCCACCAGATCCAACTTCAAATTCAAATTCACCAAGACATTATTAATATTACTTCCCATTAATGTAATTAGATAGACGAAATGGAGGATAAACGTACATAACAGAAGTTTAGCACCACACAAATGTAATATAGTGATCACATACAATGATACACCTCTATATTAGTATTACCTTGAGTTTGACAAAGATTATTAAAAGTAAAACATGGTTCCTTCGCAAATCGAAATCATGTAAACTGCCACTGTAGGGATCATAGAAACTTAGGGGTATAACTACGGAATACGCAAAAGAAAATGGTTTGTACAGTTGAGACCACTCTGTGCAGTGTGCTGTTTAAAATAGATACATACAGACCGCTCAGTACACATTGTAGAGGATAATTTGACAGAACTACAATGCAAAAGCATTAGCCAGTAATGGCCGACAAAAGAAAACCACGTCAAACGGTTTCCACCGAAGATTTATTAGCGAATTATACACAACCCTAAGATTTCGGAACACCTATTAATGTCTTGAAATAGTGGACTCGGCAGCGGACACATTCCTAAAAACTGAGTGGCCATTTTGACAAGCAAATGGAAAAGATTGAAAACCATGTACAGCAGACATGTCGAACGCAACTGGCAAACATGACACAAACATTAACGGTGACTACCTCGTTATTATTCAGTGGAAAATACATGCCACTTCAAATTCAGATTATATACCTTTAAATACACCGGCAGACATCAGAGATTCGCTGACCCGTGCACTATCAGCGGAGAAAACAGCAAATTTATAACGATAAATTCGTGCCAAAAACTAAAATTTGTTGTTAGACAAACGTGCTATCCCACAATGCCCCGCAAAGGTCGTGACCCAAATCATTTGCATGCATGACGTCAATATAACGTAGCTCGCCCAGGCCACTGACAATTTCTGTTCTTATGGCGTCGGTTTGAGCTATGGGTTGACCGAGCGCGGGTGGGTGGAGTTGAGTTAGGTGGATTTATATAGTTCCCTGCGTCGAAATAGTATACTAAATTATACATATCTAAGAATTCCTGCGAACGTTCCGACCGAAAAACACGTACCTGTCATTTGCTTACACCTATGGAATCTTACACCTCTTACTATACTTGTATGGACTGATGAAGTTTTTTCTTCTTCTTCTTCTTTTTTCTTGTATCTATTTTTTCTTCATGTTGTCACTTTACTAGTACAGAATATGCTGAAGTTTTTTTGTTGTTGTTGTATATATTTTTTCTTCATGTTGTATAGCATTGTAATTGTGTATGAATGTATGGATGTATGTATGTATGACCTTTAGATCGGTATTTCCCTGCAAAGAATTTTTTTAAAAAGAGAAAATTCATTCCGTGCTTCCTTATAGTTTTGTGAGTGCAGCTGATCTAGCTCCCCAAAGTATCTCCAGGTACTGTTTAGTAAGCTGAACTATAGTAATATTACCAATAAGGCTGCTGCCAACCCTAAAACCCAGGAGAGTTTTCAAGAGCTCCTCCTGCATGCCATGTGAGGTTTCTGTTGTCTCCAAACCTGTTTTAGTACGTTTAATCATATGTAAAAAACTTTTTCTATGGTTTTTATATTCAGGACATTCCAGTAAAAAGTGCTCCAGGGTCTCCAACTCTCCTCTCCCACAAATTAAACATTTATCTTCGCCTCCCCAGTTTCTAGTTCGTTTATTCAATGGCAAGCATCCCGCCCTGCATTGAAAGAGCAGGCTACTCCCAAGACTATTATCATAAAAGGACTCTTTACCAGGCATCTTTTTTTCTTTATACAATCCTAGCGAACTCTTGTTTTCTATCCTTTTTCTCCAGACGGTAGTACCACTCTGTTTAATTGCTCTTTCCACTCTAACATTCCATTCTTTAATACCCCCCGTTAACTCTTTGTCTAGACTCCTATCCGAGTCAAACTTTGTTATGAGGAACCTAGTTCTCCTCCTCCAGTCTGATCTGAATTCGCCCAATTCCATTGCTTCCGCTATCTGTTTATATTTACGTTCATTATTCATATATTTTATCCTGCCCCAATATTTAATTTTACTTTTTGCCTCTCTCTCTTCAAAAGTGGACCATCCCATCTCCCCTCTAATACTCTCCAGTCCCACATAAAAGGGTGCCCCTAGTGACTTCCTTCCCAGCTGGTTTTGCGTCCTGTCTAGTGCCGGGAGCGTGGACGTTCCTCCTTTTTTAACTTTAAATACTAGGGCTCCATTTGTATACGTCAGCGCAGGCACTGCAACTGCTTTCCAAAGCTCCCTACCCACCCAATATCTATTGAAACTATAGAATGCCTTTGCAGCTATTGCTCCCCTGTATTTTCTTGTTTTTTTTTCGTATATCATCCTCATGATGTTGTAAGCAGTTTTCGCTAAGCTTTACCCCCAGGTAAGTGTATTCAGATACTTGCTGCAAATTCATTGTCCCCAGTTTCCAGAAACCCTGTTGCTCCTCTATCGGCTTATTGAGAATCATGATTTGGGATTTCTTTTCTCCAAAAACCATTCCAAAATTTTCTGCAAAGTCTGCGGCAATGCTCAACATACTTTCCATTTTACTCCTATTCTCTGCTAGCAGAACCACATCATCCGCGTATAACATCCCCGGAAAGCTATTTCCTCCAATGCATAATCCATTTGCATTTGTTACGAGCCTAGTAGACAATTCATTGATAAACAATGCGAACAGGATTGGTGATAAAAGGCAACCCTGCTTCAGACCTACATTAGATGCTATCCAATCCGATTCAAACAGTTCCAGCCTTATCTTTGATTCATTGTCCTTGTACATAGACTCCACTAGCTTAACGAACCCATTACCCAAACCTATTCTTCTTAGTTCCCTTAGTAATTTATTCCTATTCACCGAGTCATAAGCTTTTTTAAAGTCCAAGAATGCAAGGTATATAATGGTTTTCTTACATGTTTCGCCTGCTGAATGCATTGGGTTATTATAAATATATTATCCCCCGTGCGCCGATCTCTCCTGAATCCATTCTGTAACTCCCCCAAAATATTTGAGTCTTCTAACAATTTTTCCAGTCGATCTCTAATAATTCCCATAAATAACTTACTCACGTTGCTCGTTAAGGTCATCGGTCTGTAGCTTTGCAGAAGCTGTTTATCCAGGTTTTTACCTTTATAAACTAATGATACTTTTGATTTCTTCCATGAATCTGGGAACTCCAATGACTGTAGAATTTTATTAAAGGGGACCGTTAGTGCTTTGACTAGGAATTTCTCCCCAAACTTTAGAAATTCGTTTGGTACCTCGTCAAAGCCACAGGCCTTGCCCTGCTTACTTAGCTTAATTCTAAGCAGCACCTCCTCTACCGTTATTATATTTAACAAAGTATTTCTACTATCTATATGAGGGCTATATGTACGTGGTTGGGACTCCTGGGGGCCCACTGAGATGCTAGAGCCTGAGTTGATTTCTCGCCAGAAACCCGTGAGTTTATTTTCTATATCCTCCTTTTTTTCCAAGACGCACACATCTTCGTTTCTTATTTTAACTATGCCGTCGCGTATAGGTTCTTCCTTTCTAATTAACTCCCAAAAACGCTTAGTACTTTCCCTACCCGCTGATTTTATATTTATAACCTGTTGTTTTTCAAAGTTCCGGGAGGTTGTTGCGGCTCCATGTATATTTCCCACTACATCTGTTATCCTCGTTTAAGATTTTTAGACTGTTGTTCTCGACGAAATCCAGTAACCGCTGCCCATTTCCATTTATAACTTCGTTCGCTAACCCAATATGTCCATTAAAGTCGCCTATAATGATACAATTATAGTTTAATGACTGAAGTTTCTCAAATTGCTGTCTTAGCGTTTCATAGATAGCATCATTCCATTTCCGATCTAGGTCTTCCCTGCCCGCATATACAATGCCAAAAGCCCATTTCTCTCCCCCAGTGGCCCGCCCACCAACCCTGTTTCTGCTTTTGTAATATCTTTACTAAGGTTGTTCACATCCTTTAAAGACTCTAATTTTAAGTTAGCATCCAAGATGAAGCCTATCCCTCCCCCTCTTTTCTGACCTTTTTTCCTATTCCAGCCCACCCAGTCTATGCCATTTTTCTTAAATGGTTCGGGTTGGAAATCATCCCTGAAAAACGTTTCCCCTACTTCTAGAATGCCTAACCTATCTCTCTGGAACCAATCAATTACATCTACAGCTTTATTTTTTGATTTCAAACAGTTAACATTTAGCCACCCTATTCTTAACTTTTTCCCTCAATATGTACTGTATCCGTCAGAAATTTTATCATTTTAACTTCTCAACACTATTGCTTTTATCAGATTTTTTCTACATGAAAAAAACTGTCGTCAGTACATGTATTTGTATCTGAATTCATGCAATAAAGATTTAATAATAATAATAATAATAATCTATCTAAAAGGAGAGTGGCAAAAGACGAGCGCGTACGCTAAATCTCGGTATAAATAGTAACTCTTCGGAGTCCAAAGGACTAATAAAGGATAGCAAAGAATAATTATAGTACTGCTAGATCGACACTAATAATAGCAAAGCAACTAATGTGAATGTATCCGTTGAGGATGTTACACAACGGAAACAGCTAGGCCGGTTGTAGATGACCGAGTACGCCGTGATGATTTCACCAAGCAAGGTGCATCTACCAATTTTAACGTGGCCGTGATAAATCTCGCAGAAGCTAATGTGTTTGGTATAGAGAAAACGAGCACGGCGGGGAGGGGCAGTCGAAATCGGTGAGAATATTTTCAGAACTGGCATTGCAGTTTTGCGACTGCGATGAATCGATTTTCGATCGGCAGTAATTCATTCTTGATAAAGCCAAGATATACTATGGTCCGAACTTTAATTAGCGTCAGCAAAAGAAAGATTGCATGCGGAAAAAGCGAGTGGATCGACATTTTACAAAATAAATCGATGTGCTTCCAGCTAGGGCGTTGCATGCTTATGGTAATACCCAAATATTTGTTCGCCGGAGTATAGTTAATATAGGTACTTAATTAAGATATAGTGAGTATAGGTAAAGGTCAAGCGATATTTAAACCGTGCCATGTGTGCAATTTTGCATTTGTCAAGATTTAAAGGCATGCGCCAGGTTAGGCCCATATTGTTCAACACGAGTGAGAATGATATGCAGGGCTATACTACGCGACCACCCTTACTGTAATAAGCAATGAATGTCGCAGGTGAATAACCGCATCGTCGGCGAAAAAGAGTTATCGGTGTCACTTATTATATCATTGATGAATTATATAGTTAAGAATAGCAGCGGACCAAGCACAGAACCCTGGGGTACTAGGTGACGTAACATCAACCACATCTGCCATGCTGCTGCCGTTGGTACATACAATTTTGGATCTATCCGTAAGGAAGTCGGTAATCCAGCTAAAGGTAATAATGTCCAATCCCATCTAATTGGGTTTGCGAATCAGAATGTCGCAGGGGACTTTATCGAAAGCCTCGCTGAATACTAGTAGAAAAAACTGCGTCGACCAGCCGAGATTTATCGTCCAATCATGAAGGACATTTATTGACTGTGCAGTAGTGGAGAAGCCGCTACGGTACGCTACGTACCTAAATCTCTAAAGGGATAAGTTATAGCAGGAGTAAATAATAATATAATTATATAGTATCTATTATTATATCGTGTGTATTATTATATCAATCAATCAACATCGTGCTGCTTGCACGGATTTTTCTGACTCTCTCTCGCCACCCATCACGACCATACATTGCATTCGGCAGGTCTTAGAGTAGACATCGCTCAGGCGGGCACTATCGCTTCATAGTGCCTGCTGCGTTATCCAATGAGATTGCAGC